ATTTTAGCCTCTGTTGTTAGGATTTTTTGTTTGAGGCTTCTTCTTTTTTTAAAGAGAACATGACCATTTTTAGATTCAAGGACGGGACTGATCAGCTAATGCCCGTACCATAGCCAGTATAAAACATGGATGTGGCTTCAGAAAATTAAGCCAATGCAGAAGTGCCACAAGTTATATTCTATATGAAGACCAACAGATGATGATAGCTGTGATTACAAAAAGATTTCTGGTCCTATATAACTGTATGGGACAACAGTTTTCCATCGTAACATCTGTAAAGATTTTCCTGCTAATGTTTTTGGGCTCAGCCACTCATTTTCAGTTACACTGACTGAAATCTACTTTAAAAATCGAATTTAAAATCAAGGGGTCATCTGTGTGCCTCATCCACTAATGCCCTTTCAACCACAAGATCTTAAGGAGCGTGCAGTTTCACAGTCAGACCTGCCTCTCCTCGCCGCATCCAATTATTTGCAACAAACCTAGCACATTCTGGAGTCATAGTTTGAATGGTGACCGACTTGTATCGGACTGTGAAAAGTGTGGCACAACCCATAAATGGGGACAGTTTGACCTTTGACCCTCAACACAATCAATTTTTTTTGTTTTTTCCCCCCAAACAGAGAACTTTGTCCATGCTAGCCATTATAAAGAATGCATGTTTAACACACTGGCTTCACTTTTTAGGACAAGTTCATCACATACATTCGATGTAACCAACAGATCAACAGTTCAATAGTGCAGAAAAAATATATCTGCAATTTTATGTACATATGAATAAGTATTAGCTACTTTCAGCTGCTCCCTTGTCACTACTTGTTACCACAGTAGCTCCACACGTTTGATCTGGCAGTTTTACACCTTTCCTGATGCAACCGCAAAGATGATTTGTGTCTTCAGCTGGAATAGAAGCAGTGACCTTTCATTCGCCAAGCGAATGTGTAATCCACCACGCTATGGAGCCACTTTAATGTGAGTGTAAACACTCTGAAAATTAGACCTGAGAGTAAACACGTAGCAAAGCTGCTACGCTCAATGGGGCAGCCCTATAAGATCACGTGGTGTCTTTGATGGCGCTAACTTAAAGAGCCAACATACAGGTGGCTACTTTTCTTCAGTAAATTGAGTTGAAAACAGAAGCTGAGAAGAACCTGAGGAGAAATTCTTTCTTGGTCTAACATAAACTGGAGATGCATAAAATGTATAGTAGCGCATTCTTCTGGGCTCTATTAAATGTTCCCAGGGGACTGCACTCTGTGAACTCGCAGTATAGTGGCCTCATGTGCTCGCTTTAAAAGAGCTGCATCTCCAGTCTTGGTTGATCCCAAAGAGGATGTGGCTTACATGATGGACAGATTAACTTCCCTCCAGCTTTTAGGAATCACATTACCTGAGATGAGCTTAGAGGCTCTCTGAAATAAAAAGGCCATAAAGGTAATGTGAGTCCTTCAAAATGCAGCCCCACATCCTTTCAGAAAGCATGCTCTCAGAATGCACACAGAGTAAACATACATATATGAAGTGGCTGGAACGGAAATGGATAAAGAGGATCTTATCCATTTCCATTATCCGCCTCCCTTCTGCAATATTTCAGAAAGCTTCACATGTAGATCTTTCACAAAACTTCACAAATCCTAATTGATTAATTTACAAATATTCAGCGGTGAGAGACAGACGTGATTAACTGGCAGGCACAGCGCGGGTCATCTTCAGACGACACCGACGCAGTGGCAGCTGTGACTCAGAGATGTGGGCTCCTCAACAGCGACAGCCTGCGAATGCCACCTGGACGAGAAGCTAAAATAAACACTATTTGTAGTGTCGCTGGCGTGCAGCGGGAACATTATTCTTCGGCAATGCTGTGAGAGTGTTTGAACAGACTATTCAACTGCACAAACAGGCAAATAGAAATTAGAGTTAGCATGAGCCCCTCTCCTTCCTGAGCTAAATGTATTTTTCTTTCTGCCCGATGAAAGCTCCTGGCCTTTTGCCGAAAAAACTCTTGCAAATGATACTCGATACTTGCTTTCATGTTTACTTCAATAAGCATCCTGCTTTTGTTGCTGAGCCATTAGCTATAGCATGCTTTCAAAATGTTTACAGCAGGATGATACCCCCCGTGGAAAGATGGGAACCTTTTTTTTTTATAAACCAAATCTGATAAATAACTGAGATCTCTGTTTTTTGGGGTTGTTTTTTTTTATATATATCATGCAGATCTTTCAATAAAACCTTACTCACATGTCACTTAGCATTGGCAAAAGCACAGTCAAGTTTCTTAAAAAAATTTTAACAAATGATTAGCTTTTTTCTTAGCCTTTTAGCTTTTTTTTATAGCACTAGTGTAAGTACAGCAGATGTCCATCTACTGATTAATACGGTGTGATTTACGGTACACGGGTCTATGCTTCTGCAGCCTTTTAAACACTCATCTTTCTGAGCACCTTTTGAGTGCAAACCTTGAATAGGATGTGTGGGAACACTTCACCGGCTCTGTATTCCTGTCATGAAACAGCATTTTTGCTATTTTCAGTATTTTGCCACAATTTCGTAACGTATATTTAGGGGAGAAAAAAAAAACGTTATTCACATGATTGAAAGAGATGTTTAGTCTCTCAGAGAAAATTCAGGTATTGAAATGCATTTTAGAAAAAAAATGAATTTCTTGTACAGATCAATACATAAATATGTAATGTTTTATAGCTATTAACAGCACAACAAATGTGTGGAGAGCACAGTAAAAGGTTTGGATCCTGAAGAGCTCAGGTGCTTAAAAAATCCACAGTACTTAGCATCGCTTTTTCAGAGTGAGGCATCATGAAGCTTTTTGTGTGTTGTTTTTTAAAACGTAAAATGTTTAACTCATGGATTTTCATATGCTCTGCAGCTTTGACTGATGTAGAGATCTTACTTTTTAACAGATCCCTGCACTTCCTAACTTCCAAATATTGCAGTCTGTTTCAATTTCTTTTTGTTTCTTCATATGATATCAAACAGAGACAGACCTCGAGGTCTAACTGACCATTATTATGTACACTTTGCTTTGACTGCCTGCACTGCCTTTTTTGCCTTCAGAATCGCTTTAATTCTTTGTGGCATAGATTTAAACAAGGTTCTGGAAACATTGCTCAGAGGTTTTGGTCCATATTGACATGACAGCTTCACACAGCTGCTCCACATTTGTCTGCTGCACATCCATGATGTGAATTTCCTGTTCTACCACAACTCAAAGGTGAACTGTTGGATTGAGATCTGGTGACTGCGGGGGTCATTTGAGTACAGTGAATTTATTGCCATGTTCAAGAAACCAGTTTGAGATGATCTGAGCTTTGCGACATGGTGTGTTATCTTTGCTCGAAGCAGCCATCAGACGATGGGTACACTGTGGACATCACGAGAAGCAGCCTAAACTCATGATACAAGGCAGGAGAGATCCGTGCTTTCATGTTGTTTATGCCAAATTTGGAACCTAGCATCTAAATGTCACAGTATAGATTAAGGCTTGCTAGATTGGGCAACATTTATTCTGTTTTATATTCACCAATGTTAGTGATCCTGTGTGAACTGTAGCCTTAGTTTCTTGTTCATAGCTAACAGGAGTAGCACCCGGTGTGGTCTTCTGCTGATGTAGCCTACCTGCCTTCAGGTTTGATGAGTCTTGCATTCAGATACGCTTTTCTGCTTACTTTGGTTGTAAGGAGTGCTTATTTGAGTTACTGTTGCCTTCCTATCAGCTTGAAGTAATCTGACTATTCTCCTTTGACTTCTGACAACAACTCAGAGAAGTGACTGGATAGACTGTGTTTTTCATGTCATTCTCTGTAAATCATAAAAATGGTTGTGTAGGAAAAGCAGGTCATCTTGACCATGTTTTCATGCTTAAATGCACTGAGTTGCTGTGAAATAGCTGAATAGTGTATATGTCTAAAATCTTAGTAGATGTCTGTCTTGGACTAAAGCAAAAACACTACAGCATTCTCATATATAACTGTCTCAAAAGACCTAAAAGGCATACCAAAGGACTCCCCCACCCTCAGTGACGTTCTGAAAGATATATTTTCATTTGCTTTTTGCAGCTTTGGATGTTTGCTTTTTTGTTAAATGTGTGATCATTTTAACTCAGTGGGGTTCAAACAGTTTCTTAAATGAACTCACGACTACACAGACTCCTGCACTGTATGGTGTAAAAACTGCAGTGTAAGATAATAAGAAATGCTTCTTAAAAGTATAAGCAGCTAACTGTAGCTGTCAAATAAAGAGTGTTTGAATGATGGGCTAAAAAGATTTTTTCTTTGTGTATTGTAGTAGATGTATAGAGTAGCAAAACAGAGAAAATATGTACTGAAGAACAATGCTAGAGCAGATGCTACATGCTGAATTTGGCTGCAAGACTTTGCTCCAAGCCAGATGGGATTGGCTCCAGCTGCTCTACCAGCCTGAATTGGAGAAGTGGAAGACAACGGATGGATGTACTATAAAGCCTGACTTCATAGCACAGAAAACTCTCCAAGGTCAGACTCTTAGCACACTTTTTGAAACAAAAGAGAGCTTTCTACATACTTTTGTCAATTTATTATTTCAATCTATTCAAAACTTGTCAAACAAAAAGAATATTAATCTCTAAACTATCATTTATATTTCATTTGTAATTGTTTAAGACTAGTGGTTGCATAATGTTCCTTTTAATCCGGATGTTCAACTAAAAAACTATATTTTTAACAGTCAGTGAAACTAATGTAAAGATATAAACTTTGGCCTGAAAGCTGTCATGTCCTAAAAACAGACAGACAAGGCGCAGACTGGATAAATACAGACAGCTACAGCCACGTTACAGTTTACAGGTCTGTAGCTGCATCAGTAGCTGCTGCAGCCTGACTGGCTGACTGACACCTGTTGATTTGGACAACATGTGCGCCTTTTTTCCTAGTTGGAATGACACAGCGGGCTTTTGCGGACGCACTCTGACATGTGGCCGTTAAAGGGCCGCCTGCTGAACTCACCCTGGCTGCTCTAGATGAATACGGGTCGTCAAACAGCGCCCAGATCTTTGGCTGCCAAACTTCGCGGCAGCCTCTCGACCTGTCGGGGACGTCTTCGATGCCGAACCTCCTCGGCATCTCTCTCTCGTCGTCGGTGTCTTCTGGGTCGGGCGGTTCAAATATCTCCAGGGCCTCCTCCGCGTCCCGGTGCTGCCGGTAGGTCATCCAGCAGCATGGCTCCACGTCAGTCTCGTCTATACCCCAAAACGCCAACTCTTCCTCGAATAGAGGCCCGCAGACGTCAGCCGGGCAGTGCAGCTTGCCTGTCCGGTAATAGTTGAGCACGTACGCAAAGATGCCGGGGTGTCTGTCGAAGAAGAACTCGGTGGCACTCGGGGACGCAATGTCTGAGTCGGAGCTGACCTGCGACTCCGAGTCTGCTAGCCATGCCAGGCGCGTCCCCGGCAGGGTCCTGAGGGTGCTCTTGTAGGTCTCGTGTCGAGTGCCGCCTACGTTAATAATAATTTTATCCGAGTCTTCCCCTCTGGCCATGTCTTCCTTCAGACATGATTTAGACGGAGGTTTGTTGCCTGACTTGCGTCCTCGGTAAGACGAAACACAAACCGAGCTTATCATTTAGAAGCAGTGGGAGCAGACCTACTGGCTGTTCGCCCCTGGTTCAAACTGTTGTCCGCTGGGGAAAAAAAAATCAGAAAATTAAAGCAAAGTGAGCCTTCATTTCACACCCATGTGGCTCGTTTATTGCTGATTGTTAAGGTGCATAGTAATGGTAAAGCGCGATGAAAACCACCTGTAACCAAACTCAGTCTGGAGGCTGAAAAAAGCAAAACGCGGTTGGTGGAACTCGATCGGTGTTTGTAAACGTTTTAGTCGAATAGGTTGGACAAGGTGTTTTGAGTTGTTGCCTCCAGATGTTATACTTAATTCCTGTCCACGGGCGCAAAGATGTTGGACTTATTTCCCGTCCACGAAGACATATTATTGCCAGGAAAAAAAAGAATATTGGCTTTTACGCATGGTATTTCCTATAGGAGAAAACGCTAAGTCAGAAAACATGTGACGATCATCTCCCCCTTTCTAAAAAAAAAACAAAAAAATATCCAAATTCTGCAGCGCCAAAATCAAATCCACAACTAATATTGGCAACTTTTCTCGCCCCTGCTCGTGATTTGGAAGTCAGAGATTGATCCACTGGTCCAGTCCATCTAATCATGCAGTGAAAAATTTGACAGATTTTTCCTCCTCAGATTTGGTCGTCCCGCGTGCCAGATGTGGGGTTGTTTTCCAGCTGAGATCTGTTGCTTCTCCACAAGTACCCTATATCTTCCCCTAGCGACACAGCCCGGTTGGATGGTGCGCTCAACTGCCTCAGCAGTTTAACCCTTTGTCTGCCGAAGCCTGGCGCACTATTGAACCACTCCCTCTAATTAGACCGAGAGGATGGACTGGTGGTGAGGTGTGCATCTTTGTGTTTGTGCGTGTGCGTGAGAATGAAACTCGGTTTAATTAAGCCCGTTTACGCTTTGCAGCCTTTATTGTACATATTCAGCTCTGAGTCACCATGGGGACTACTGACCTCTGATTTGTCACCAGCACCTGTAATTGTGTAGCGTCACATTAAGGAAGCGTGCCAAGGGTATAAAACGCAAACAGCCGTGGGGGAGAATAAATAAACTACTGTGTACTGTAACGCAGAATACCTTTATTTCATGGCATTACTGCATGCATGCTGGTAGGAGTTTATATTATAGTCACACAAGATAACCAACTTAAATTGAGTTAATAAGATTGATCACATACCCACCAATATCCAGAAGGTTTAGGTGGGATTTTTATCAGGAGTAGCCTCAAGGTGGTGATGATTCAGATTCTTTTTATTTTTCGGTTGTTATTGTTACAGTGTACGGAGTGCTCCAACAGGTAGCGCTTATGGCCAGTGGTTTTAGTAAACTAACGTCCTGATTTCGCCACCTAGAGGATCATTCAGTGAACAACATGTTTAAATGAGTTGCTTAGTTTTCAGTGAGTGTGATTTGTGTGCAAACCCTTTGACATAAAAGTACTAATATTACACAGAGCTGACAACACTTGCAGTATACAATAAAGTCTGTTTACTGTTTACAGCTAAAGGCAGTTAGCACAGCTCTATGAGGGAAATATTTGTATAAATCTCTTCAGAGAGAGCTGCAGAAATTTGTAAAAGTCTGGGGGGGAATATTAAAACTGAAAATATGAGCAAATCTGGAGGTGCTAGAAAGATGTAAACTTGCTATATCTCTGCAGTCTGCAGCTATCAAAGTGTGATAAACCGGCTGTGCTTGTTGCATTTTGGGTAATGCAGGCAAGAAAAGCATGTTTGGTATAAAACAAAATAAAAGTAGGTTCGGGTTGGTTTGTTTTAACAGAGGTGCAGCAGTAAAACTGTCTGTCATACACACTCATAGCACACCTACAGTGTGCATGTGTTCAAACTCATGTTTGGCATCTAACATGTTGTCATATACATTTTTTATGCTTTACCTTTAAAGATGAGAACTTGCCTTTTGTCTATAAAGCTCCTCACAAGTCTTTCCTAGAATGACTATCCTGTATATTACTTTTTAAGTACAGCTTAAATAGGGAAAAAGAAATGTGAAACAATGTCTGAATAAGGTTTGTCAACCATCTTTAACAAAAATACTTATTGAGTACCTTTATGAATTCCATGTCCAAATTCATCAAAATCTGAATTTTCTATCAGAAACTCTTGGTACTCTCATTGGTACATGGTTTTAAAGAGAGGCCATTCTCAAAATTATAAACACCTTTGATCATGTGCATCAGTTAAAAAGGATAGCGCTTGTTTCTTTTTTATTATTCTTTTATTCCATGTTCAAAAAAATATTTATCACAAACAATAATGAAGAGAGATGTGCTTTTATAGAATTTATTGTAGAAAAGGAAACAACATTGAAATCATTTATTTTTACTAAACCGCAGTCATAAATTTTCCCATGAGTGTGATATGCTGAGGTGAATAGCTTTAGTCCACTTCTTCAATAGTAGGGCCCTGGGAGGCTCCTCCTGCCTGGCCGCCGCAGCGTCCTGATGGTGTTGCTCCCTGGTACAACTTTGTCACAACTGGTCTGCACACCTTCTCGAGTTCATTCTGCTGGTGCTCATACTCATCTTTCTCTGCAAGCTGGTTGTTCTCCAGCCAGGAAATCGTCTGGTTGCACTTGTCAATGACCATCTTTTTATCCTCTTCGCTAATTTTACCTTTCAGACTCTCATCCTCAACACTGCTCTTCATCTGGTAGGCATAGGACTCCAGCGTGTTCTTTGCTGCAACCTTGTCTCTCTGAATGTCATCATCATCCTTGTACTTCTCAGCATCCTGCACCATCCGCTCGATCTCTTCTTTGCTGAGGCGGCCCTTGTCATTGGTGATGGTGATTTTGTTTTCTTTGCCGGTGCTTTTGTCCACGGCGGATACATTTAGAATGCCGTTGGCATCAATATCAAATGTTACCTCTATCTGTGGAACACCTCGGGGAGCTGGAGGGATACCTGTGAGGTCAAATTTGCCCAGAAGGTTGTTGTATTTGGTCATGGCTCTCTCGCCTTCAAATACCTGAATCAATACACCTGGCTGGTTATCTGAGTATGTGGAGAAGATCTGAGTCTGCTTTGTGGGGATTGTGGTGTTTCGCTTTATCAGAGGTGTCATAACACCGCCTGCGGTTTCAATGCCCAGAGACAGGGGAGCGACATCCAGCAGCAGCAGATCTTGGACATTCTCTGAGGTGTCGCCCATGAGGATGGCTGCTTGGACTGCTGCACCGTAGGCTACAGCTTCATCTGGGTTAATGCTCTTGTTCAGGTCTTTGCCATTAAAGAAGTCCTGTAAGAGCTTCTGGATTTTGGGAATTCTTGTGGAGCCACCGACCAGGACAATTTCATGAATCCTGGATTTATCCAGCTTGGCATCCTGCAGGGCTTTCTCAACTGGGCCAAGTGTTCCCCTGAAAAGATCTGAGTTGAGCTCCTCAAAACGTGCCCTTGTGATGGAGGTGTAAAAATCAATTCCCTCAAAGAGAGAGTCGATCTCAATGCTTGCCTGAGTGCTGGAGGATAAGGTCCTCTTTGCCCTCTCACAAGCTGTACGCAATCTCCTCACTGCTCTCTTATTCTGGCTAATGTCCTTCTTATGTTTTCTTTTAAATTCCTCTACAAAGTGCTTGACCATTTGGTTGTCAAAGTCCTCCCCACCAAGGTGTGTGTCTCCTGAAGTGGCTTTGACCTCAAAGATGCCAGCTTCAATGGTCAGAATAGACACATCAAAGGTGCCTCCGCCAAGATCAAAGATCAGCACATTGCGTTCTCCTGTTTTGCCTTTATCCAGGCCATATGCAATGGCTGCTGCTGTGGGCTCATTAATGATCCTCAGAACATTTAGTCCAGAGATCACCCCAGCATCCTTGGTAGCTTGTCTCTGGGAGTCGTTGAAATAAGCTGGCACTGTGATGACTGCGTTTGACACCCTTTGTCCCAGGTAGGCCTCAGCTATCTCCTTCATTTTAACCAGGACCATGGAGGAAATTTCCTCAGGATAGAATGCCTTGGTCTCCCCTTTGTATTCCACCTGGACTTTGGGCTTTCCATTATCGTCAATCACCTTGAAAGGCCAGAGCTTCATGTCGGACTGTACGACTGGGTCATTAAACTTTCTTCCAATCAGCCGTTTGGCATCAAAGATTGTGTTATTGGGGTTCATTGCAACTTGGTTCTTGGCAGCATCTCCAATAAGCCTTTCTGTGTCGGTAAAAGCCACATAGCTTGGAGTGGTTCTATTGCCCTGATCGTTGGCAATGATCTCAACTTTGCCATGCTGGAAAACCCCAACACAAGAATAGGTGGTGCCCAGATCAATGCCAATGGATACTCCCTTTGGTGCAGACATTTCGCCGGTTCCTAGTACCTAGACAGATTTAGAAGACATTGCATTTAAATGGATAAAGTCTTGTTTTTGATAGTTTTCAGTATTAATAATATGTTTATTCCAATGATACTAACATAAAGTTTGAGCACTTGTCACACACAAATCAGGGAGCTGCACTTAGAATTAAGAGCACACTGTCTGTGTAATCGTTAAAGCTAATTGCTAGGTAGTAGTTTTACAGTGGTGAGGGCTAGAATTCACAAGACCAGTGAATCTAATGCTTCACTTAAAAAAAATAAGCGAACTATAGATCGGTATCTGGTTATTCATATGTAGCCTTATTTTAATATTTAAATAAATAAACATTCAGACTAGGACTTAGAGACTATCCTTCATGAGTAAAGACTTAATATCAAGTATAACTGTTACACTGTTGCACATAAAGTTCTGTTTTTTTTTAGGAAATGAGTGAATTAGAGTAAGACACCCACACAAAGAAGTCCTCACTGTCTCTACAGTCTAAACTTTGTCCAATCAGTGTTGCTACTTACTTTCAGTGGTGCGCTCTCTGGTGCTCAGAAGTTCAGAAGGATATCCTGGGGATGTTTCCTTCGTGTCAGCTTTTGCCTCTGTTTCTTCTGGAGTTCATACCTAGACTGGCTGGGGCTCCTTGCTTATATAGTTACAACCAGGTTTCCAGAATGCTCCCGCCCCCTCCTCCTCAATGACTGAAGTGTTAATATTAGAAACTAATGCAGCTGGCTCGGTGCTCGAGGGCCGGTGAATATTCCAGAGTGAGATGGCAATCTGACCCTCAGCCAGCAGGGCCGACTCAGAGGGATACAATGTGGAGAATGTGGCAGTAAGGCACATTTAGGAATTGTGATGTGTTATGTTGAAGTGTGAGCACCCATGAATGTCAGTTTTATCCCCAAAATAATCCAAAATATTTACCTACTGAGCCAGGGACTCACAAAAGGCCTCTCCTTCATTTTCCGTTCTCAGTTTGTCATGGTAAAAAGACTCGCTTTATTGCTGATTTAATGCAATCGTTTACATAGATAGTATACACTTATGTCATTTTGATCACATGAAATATTAAAGTGATCTTGTTGGATCAAATTAAGACAACTACAATCATATGCCTGACATAAAGTCTAATATATATATATATATATTTTGCCAACACACAGCTCATACATTATAGTTATACTTACAACCAGAAGCAGTGGAAGGAAGACAGTTAATGTACTTCTAATAAATGCAGTTTTACAAAAAGGAATGGTTCATATAATTAAGCTCAGCGCTAGTATTATGTTGTTATAAATCATTTAAAAGGCACATTCATATCATGACCTCAAAGGTACTATCCAGTCAGAAAAACTCTTCAGTGAGGCGTCTGGAATTAAAGTGAGCAAATGGAAACTTGGGATGAAATGAGGGAAGATAAAGCAGTCAAAAAGTGTTTTACCAGCTCTCTGTAAGTCTTCTCCAACTGCCTTTTTAGGAAAGACATCAGCTGCTCCACACCCAGACATAAAACAACATCTTAATCTGTCATTAGCAAAACGACATTACTTGATCACAAGACGTGAATAAACAAGACTTCATCATTTTGTTTATGTAACAGGCAACAGTTCATCATCATCACTGCTATAATAAAAAGGATGACTGGATGTTACCTTTTAGGGCATGTATGCAGATACCATTGAAACAGATTATTTGACATATATATAAAAACAAACATTTCTAAAATAATCTAAGTTGTAACACAGAGTTTGTTTTGGCTCAGCCTAAACTCTGGCTCATGGAATGTACCCGGCAAATCTTAATGTCACGGTAGACAAAATCGAAAAGGTATCCTCTGTTTCATTCTTATGGCCATCATTTGGCACTGTGCGTAAATGGGGTAAACAAATCAGCAACTCTGTGATCTAGTAACATAATCTGAAGCAACTAAATACGTGCACATACATCATAGCATGCAAGTAGGCTTTTGTTTAAACACCTGACAAGACGTGTAAAATGTTAGTTGGTTATATGTTTTCTACATGCCTTAACTCGTCCTTTTTTATCATTTAACTCTACTTCTGAGGTGCTTTTAATAAGTTACATTCAGCATAAGTAAAATAATTCCTCCATTCTGTAGCTATTTAGAAAATAAAATAGATATCTCTGTTTGTTGCAGGGTAACTGTGCGTTGAGGATCGGGCATTCTCATTAATACCTGTAGAGAAAAAAACAAAACAAAAAGAGAGTTTAATTAAATACCAGTTTAAAAAGTGAAAATATGGACTGGTGCGTGATAATAGAAGCAGAAAAAGGCAGGAGCACCTACCGGTAATAATTAGGTTTGAAAGGGCCATTCTTGTTGAGGCCCATGTATTTGGCCTGCTCGTCAGTCAGCTCTGTCAGGTGGGCATCAAAGTTGGGTAGGTGCAAACTGGCCACATACTCGTCTGGGGGAAACAGACAAAATGTGTGTGATGTGATCTTTTTAGTGAAGCCACAGGGTGGCAACAATGAGCAGCCTTTCAGAGAAGCAGTGAAAACTAATTAGACTTCACAACTATTGTGATCCACACTTGCATACTGCTTATCATTTCTATACCAAAGTAGCACAGTTTCAGTTTAAACAACGCTGATTCTTACCCATTTTCTTTGGAAGGAGATACACATCCTGTTTGTAACGTCCTTCTGGAGCATTAAACAACTCAATCAGTGCCAGGGCCTACAAAACACAGAGCACACAGTGTTTACATGACTCACAATCTGGGAAACTATGTGCCTGCACACTGCAGGTAGTTTAGTAAGAAGGGACACTGTTATTTACTCGCCCAAGAAGTTACTGACACTGGCTCTAAAGGAAGAGTAGAAATTACTAACCTGAGTTGTTGCAGTGATAGACAACACAAATGTCGGCACTGTGGAGCAGCTCAGATTTAAGAGGCGACCCTGGAAAAAAAAAATACAAGATGTCTGACAAAACTGTTTAGTGCTGAACAAACTCCTGTTTCAACCTAGTTATGAGCGATACAAACACAAATTTTTGAGAATTTAAAAGACAGTTTTGTGAAGACTATTAAGGAAAGCTACCTCTGCCAGCAGGACGACCCTCTTTCCATCAGGCCAGATGATGTGGTCGACCTGAGAGCGAACCCTCTCCCAGGTCAGCTCGGGGCTGCGCAGGCTTGCCTGAGGACAAAAGACGTAAACACCATTGTGCGAACATTTCCATGTGGCTATGTTACCATGTAAACAAAGAATAGTGGAACTCCTTGAATTAGAAACTTCTTCCAATGAATTCACAAAAATTGAGAAGTACAGCCAAGTCCATAAGCATTCATACAATCACACAATTTTTCTAGTTTTACCTCTGTGCACCTCTACACTCTGCATCACAGCAGATCTTAAAACTAAAAAGAGAGAATCAAGATGTGAACAAGGTGGAGGCTTTAAGCTTTAATTTAAGAGATTTAACAAAAGTATTACACTAACTGTTTAGGAAATTGCAGCCATTTTTATACACAGTCGCCCATTTTCAGAGGATCAAAAGGACTTGGAGTACTGGTTGACAAGCAATTTCGTGGTCATGTGAGGACTGTTCTCTTTTTATTAGTGTTGAACTTCTATTGGTTAACTTTTCATGCTCTTGACTCGAACTCGTTGCAGAAGGTGAAAGCTGAAAAAATTAAACAAAGGTATCAGAGAAAGAGCAAATATTTCAGCAGTCACCAAATCAACAGTCTCAATGAATGCACTGGCCACCTCAGTGACAGCAAAAGGCCTGAGAGATTACAGAAAACAACTAACCAAGTGAACATCACTCTCAAGGAGGTAGCTGTGTTATTGTCAAAATCTACAATCAAGAAACACCTTTATGAATGTAAATACAGAGTTCACAACCAGGTGCAAACTACTGGTGACACTCGAGAATGAGGAAGTCCAGATTAGACTTTGCCAGAAAACATCTAAAAAGAGCCTGCACAGTTCTGGAAAAAACATCTTTGGGTGTATGAAACCTAGATGAACTCGTACCAGAATGATGGGAAAAGAAAAGTCTGAAGAAGGAGAGAAAAAGTTCATAATTCCAAAACATACCATACTAACCTTCGAACATGGTGGCAACAGTGTTATGGGATGGGTATGCATGGCTGCCTGCCAGTGGAACTGGGTCACTAATGTTTGTTGTTGTGATTGATAGAAGTAGCAGGATTAATTGTATACAGGGATATACTTTCTGCTCAGATTCAGCCAAATGTTGCAAAACTGATCGAGCAAATGGATAATGTCCCAAAGAATGCTGCAAAAACTACCAAAGAGTTTCTCAATTTAAAGAAATGGGAAATTCTTCAATGGCCAAGTCACTCACCAGCAGAGCCAGTTTTGTGTTCAGTTACTGAATACAAAACCTAAGAGAGACCCACAAACAAGCAGCAACTTGAATGTGGCTGCAGTAAAGGCCTAGCAGAGCATGTCAAATGAGAAACACACACATTTGGTGATGTTAATGTGTTCTAGACTTCAGGCTGTCATTGACTCCAAAGGATTTTAATCCAAGTATTTAAAAAATCATTATATTTACATTTTTTCAGTGTGTCAGATTATTTTTGAGCCTCTGAAAATGTTGACGTATTTGAAAAAATAGTTTTTATACATTTCCTGCGTGTGATGGTGAACAGAGGCGAAACTACAAAAACTGTGTCATAGTCCAAAAACTTGCAATCTTTACTGTATGTTTTGGATCAAAGAGGCACACAGAGACGTTACTTATGGATGTTTAAATTGAGATATTCAAGCCACAGGAAATTTAATGAGGAAAAACAAATTAAGTCACTTTTGATCATTTTCAAATTTCATTTTTGACTGAAAATTTAACAACACAGAGAACAGGATGTTTTTTTGTTTACAGACTCCTTTCTGTGTTTTACTTGTCATTTAGTGCCTGAATTTTCACACGTTAACCTTTCACTTTCACTTATTTAGGCTCCCCTACTGTTTATTCTAAGTAACCGTGCTTAAGAAGCTTTTTAAATCCATTGGGTATTTGTGGGGTTATTTGTTTGAAGTTTACCACATCAATCTCAGTATTGGAGTGTCCCATATTGCAGACGATGCAGCCATTCTTCATTCGGTCAAGCTGTTCTCTGGTGACGACATTCTTGTTGCCTGTATTTGAAGAAAAACACACGTAAGGTGTTGTTAACAGAGTCACCGAAGAGAGAATAAGCCAACGAAGATCAAATTTAAACTTGTGCTGCTGCTATAGCGGTGGAGTTACAGCTATATCTGTACTGGTGTTCATATTGCTGTCAACACACAAAACCAAAGAGCATCTGAGCATTTTGATTTTAAAAAAATCTGGTTTTCACCCAAAGCCCTTAACTGTAATATTTAAAAAGACACATGCTGAAAATGTTGTGATTATCAAAGCAGAAGTAATGGATGTCACAGCATGGGGTACAGTACCAGTGCAAGTTATCACCACGTCCATCTGCCGAATGACCTCGCTCAGCTTGACCACTCGGAAACCGTCCATGCTGTGTGAACACGCATATTATAGAAGACCAGATTAGAAAAAAAAAGAAAGAAAGAAAGGAAAAACCCACTCATAATATTCACTTGTTTGTAGCTTGCAATGCACAGGTGAGCAATGCTAAATAGTGAGAGTCAGTGAGTCACCATGCTTGCAGGGCACAGATGGGGTCAATCTCTGTGATGCACACAATGGCTCCGAGAGCTTTGAGAGCAGTGCAGCAGCCTTTCCCCACCTAAAGAGCACAAGACAGTGCACTAAAAAGATCTGCTGGACTTGTTAAAGTCATTCCATCTAAAGGTAAAAAAAAATTTAATAAAAGAATGATTCACCTCTCCATACCCACACACAACCACTTGTTTGCCTCCAAACATAATATCCGTAGTTCTCTTCAAGCTGGCAAAGACAACCAAAGCGACACATCATTGAGACCATATTGCTCCAAATACAACAAAACCTCATAACAGCAACTTTCTTGGTGATTAATTTTCCTCACCCATCGAGGATAGATTCACGGCAGCAGTAAAGGTTGTCGAATTTCTGCTTGGTAACCGAGTCGTTCACGTTCATGGCGGGCACACACAGCTTGCCAGCCTTAGACAGCTGGTACAGTCTGAAAGGACACATGGGGAAAACATGTTCAGGCATATATGCTGACCAAACACACGTGAATCTTTCCGCACAAACGTGGATGCAATTCTGTGTGACCTTACACTTGGCAGAATATCTGGCTAATGAAGTCCACTGAGAGCTTTGCATATACCGTAGAGTTGCTGTGCCCAGCATTTGAGCTTTGCCATGCTTTTCAAATATTCTTCCATCATCTAAGCACAGCTGATCAGTAAAACTAACAGAAATGTGTGCATTCTCCTGTCATTTTAAACCATTTGCTACACAAAAACTAACATTATGCTTGAGCACATAAAACTCCAATAAGCAAAACTAAACAGAAAATAATTTTAAAGCAGTGCTGGTGATTTTTATTTGTCCTTACCTATGACCAAAAAATTAGTCTGTGCATAAAAAACCTGAATATGACTTATATAATGGCCTTTGATACAGGTCCAATTTCTGTTGACAAAGCCATTCATACAAAGTCATTCATCATGAAATGTATTCACTGAGAGCTTAAATTGCTTCTAGTGCATCTCTATCTCCAAAAGAAATAAAATAAGGAAATACCAATAAAAAAAAAAAGGATTAAAAGCAGCTTAGTTAAAAAAAAGTAAAACGTCAGAGGGCATGACTATGTTGGATAGTTTCTAGATTTATTTTAAACTCTAAAGTAGAGTCGTGTTCAAGACATAGATACCCAAAACACTCCACTAAAAGTCAAATCCATGTGTGAAAAGCACTGCTGCAAATTATTTGTATTTGTTGGCTGCTACGTGCTGAACAGTACATCCCAGTTATGTTCGGGTAATTAGATCCTGTAACTGCCACTGTAGTGCTAATAGCAGTATAGTTAGTTTGTTTAGCATATATTTTGATCATTTTAAAAATGTTTTACACAACTGATATAAAATTCTAATTAGAATTTTAAAAAAATATCCATTAATGATAATTTAAGGTCTAACCAGTGCACTTGTCACAGCACAATGATTTGTCCTTTGTCTTTTAATTTATTAAGTATTTACATTAGTTTGACTTTTATATTTTGTTGTCAGTATATACAGTACTGAATCTACAAAGAGCTGATGAGTATTAAATGGCTCAAAAACACTGCGACAAGCTTAATTATTTATAATTCATAATAAGCTGCCATAAGCACATGTCTATGCTGTAAAGAATATACAGCCTGGGTCTTACTGACATATTTTATAATGAAACCAATGTGAACCAAAAAGAATTACCAGACAGAAATTGCAGTTGAAAATACAAAAAGGCACGTGCTGCAGATAAAATTTAAACTCCACTAAAGCTCTAGATCTGCGACCTCATCTGACCTGTGAACACCAGTGACACTCTCCTCCACAATGCCCCTGGCTTTTTTAAAGACGCTGGGATACTTCTTGTAAACCCAGTGGGTTAAGTCTCCACCATCATCCAGGATCTATGGGGGGGGAAAAAGTCAACATGGAAGATGTGCACACAGAAAAGAGCGAGAGATTAAGACAGGCATTACATTCATCACATGACTATCCAGGTAATACCATATTGGCCTGCCAGCCTTCAGTGTTGACACAGCGATCAATACACCACCAGAAGTCGTCCTCTGATTCACCCTTCCATGCAAACACAGGTACCCCTGCAGGAAACAAAGCACACATAATTACAGGCAAAGACAGCATGAGCCACAGCTCCATTAGTGCACATTACACAGTGAAAGGAGAGGTGCAAAGTGCTCTTAAGTTTTAAGCTTTCTTTGGGTTCATCTAACCTTATGAGCAATAAAGCAAAGAAAAATACTTTATTTTATGTTAGATAGTACATAGTTATTTGGAATTACATATTTTTTGTTCCACCCTATTGTTAATAGGCCTCTTCTTGCTTCTTTATTATACTTACCCGTCTCTGCAAGAGCAGCAGCCACCTCATTTTGAGTGGAGTAAATGTTACAAGCAGTCCAGCGACACTGGGCCCCAAGTGCTACCAGAGTTTCAATCAGGACCTGAGAAGGACCAATGAAATATGAAGATAAAGAAAAAAGTAACAGACATAAGAAGAGAAAAAGATGTCACATTAAAGGGACCGCTGATGAGTAGGATGAGCGGACGTACTGCTGTCTGAGCAGTGATATGGGTACAGCCTACTATCTTCGCCCCAGCCAGTGGCTTCTCCCCCTGGGCTCTCTTCCTCAAGGAGATCAGGGCAGACATGTCTGTGGACGAACAGATCAAGCAGCAGTTAATGGTACCTGAGAGGACACAAAGGCCAGGTTTTGTTTTGGGCGAGATAAGAAGGAAAGACCTTTTCGAATTCAAAAACAAACGATACCTAGAAGGCGGATGTGCAGTACATGGCTGTAAAATGGGTACTAACTGAACAACAACGTTAGCAACAGCTGTTGCAACCCAGGTTTTAAGGCTGAACAACACTTGCCAGGCGCTTACGCCTACTTATCTCTCACATGGATAATGTAAACAGGCAGAAAGGCAGACAAGAACAGAGAAACAGCAAAAGAAACCACACCATTGTGTTTTGAATTGTGAAGAAAAGATCAAATGAAATATCATCATGTTCCAAATAACACCAGCTTTGGGTCATAAACCACAGACACCAGGTAATCTATATTTTAAATTAATAAAAGATGACGAACAATGAAGGAATACATATAGTGTGTAACAGTGTAGTTACATAACTACCCTATTACACACCTGCATCACGATAAAATCAATATGTGGCCATCTTTTAAATTTAAACTACATCATCCTGTTTGAAAAAAGGATTTCATAAGAAAACTTTAACCTGTTTTGATCAAAGTACAGACAATCATAGGTAAAAATTCTTTCATCTTTGAAATGTCCACAATGCGCCAGTGAGGTCTGATGCATACATACCTTGTTCTGCAATTTCAATTTCTCGGCGCCCAAATTCAGCTTGTTTGATGTTCTTCACACAGAAGTCGCTGCTGCCGTGGGTGTTGACCTGGGCTTTGTCCCGGGGAGAAGTTTCATCATCGGAGCTGTCAGTGTAGGATGCAGCTTACAAATAGAGAGCACAATAGGTCACTTTTGTGGTAAAGCACACAAAAGAGCCAGTTGTGAAATTTATGCTTTCAATGCATTGTGTAAAAGCTGGAGCTACAGTGTGTATTTTTGTGATGTATATGAACAGCTTTTCCAGGTGGACATGCAAACATAACTCAATCAAAGAACTGTTAAGTGAACTTCAAAAACATACAAAAAATGTTTTGTTTTGTTTTATGTATGACTGAAGTAGTTGCTCAGTTTTCAGCAATGAAAGTGAAAGTACCTGAGCTGTAGCTGTCTGTGGAGGACTGCGAGATGGACCGTGACAGCGAGCGGCGCCCTGCCTTGGTCGGATACTTGCTGAATTCCTGTTTGTCCTCTGCATTCGCAAACTGGATCTGCAGAGAGCCAAGGAAAATGCCACACAGTGTAAACATCAAAAAACAAAACAATCCAGATATTTAGCGATTTGATATTTGAAATCTTCTATCTCTATGGATTTATCGGACGTCAATGGGACAAGTGGAGGTCAATAGGACAAGGTATCATCATATTTCACATCTTAAAAGTGATGACACTATACCTTACACCGTACCTTCACACATCATTAGTTTATGTTTGCATTCATTGTCCTGTTTCTGTTATCATCCCTTCTAAAGATAAATCAGCTTGTTACAGGAAATCACAGGTGGATCAAGAACAAGGGTGCTGATGCTTATTTTTAGATGGTCCCTTGTGATTTATGTTTTGTTCAAATGCATGCACTTCAGTGATTGTTGGTTGTGATTCATCGTGTCAATCCAAGCCTTCAAAGGGCCCAAGATGAAAGATCTGGAAAAAGATAAATTGGATCACCAAACAGCTAGTGTGGCTATTTTCTAGCCAGGCATTTGATTAAAGTCTAAACTGTTGAATCTCTAAACCAAAGCACTGGAGAACTGATTTAACTGGTCACAGAACGGTAAATAGAGGACTGTATGAAAGACACAGTTTAGGCCAACATCACAGGCAGCTCAGTTACTCAGTGCTTATATTATAGGTAATATTTCTGGTACCTTTTTGTTTTGTTTAATTTTGTAACCTAATGATGACAGAAAAACAACTACTGCAAGTTTAGCAAGCTCGGTAAGTATGACCATTATCTTCCATGGAAGGACCAACTAAAGCAATGTTACCTAAACATTACTATGTACTATCACTGTCTGCCTTTCCAATAATTTCTACCCATGTCTTTGTGTAAAGTCTGTGACCTCATCCATGATATTGTGCCACGTGTCTTCCTCACAACACTGTTTAATATCACAACATTGTATAATGTCATAAAAGCATGCCTAGTGTCCACGCACAAAATACTTTTTTCCATGAAAAATGTTGCAAGAAAATTGTTCACTTGACCATGTCCAAAGTTCATGACACCTATTCAAAGGTATTCTTATTTCTTGAGCTTTTTAATTCTTCATGGTCTTCATGGTCATGCAGTCGAGGAGTGAGGATTTCAGAAGGATAGATCTTTACACAACTCTACCATAAACATTTACTATGAGTCAGTGATAAATTGTGGCAATGCACAGAATTCCCTCTGTCTCCTATTTAAATCTTCATATCATGTGTTTGGACTGCAAACTCAAGTGCAGACTGACAGAGTTGACACAACACACAGATGAAGAATCCGGGAACACATGTATCCCAGATTAACAAGAGTGAGTCGGATCACACTCGAGTATGTGTGTGTACACTGCACATACATCAACCTGTAGCTATGTCCTTCAGGTAGAGCGTACTGTTAACAATTATGAAGAGTAATAACGCATTACTGGAACAAAATCAAATTAACAGATTTTCTTTATACATACAAATTTAGTTCTGATAGAACGTTTTACGGGTGGATGCAACAGCTACACATGACTTCACATCAACAAAATCCCCCAAAAAGCTGAGGCTGATTGAATGGGCTAGCATCAGCATAATGCACAATCACTAGGGAAAACACCCCAACATAACCATAACTTTAATTCTCTGCTTTTATCCTAATTACAATGATCTTCATTAACTTAAAATGTGTGGTCAAAACTAACCTTATTTACTCAGCATTTTAACCCACAACGCCTCTTTCCATGAGCAGTGACACCTGGGCTTCAGAAACCTACCGTGTCGGTATAAAGAAACTCAAGAAGCCTGTGAGACAGGCTAAGCTCAGGAGAGCTCTGCATGTCTCTGTTTTCACAACTGTGAGTGTGCTCCATCTCATATGTTCGCAAAATATGTCAACATGAGTACTTTTATGTTTACTTTGCATCACTTTGCAGCCTTGAGGATTCAACAGACATTTCACACAGTCTCTTGAGCTTTACTGAATTGTTCTTTCTCAATATTCAGACCAAAATCAAGAGGCTAATCGAATTAATGATGAATTACTCAGCATTGGTGAAGACAGCATTATGTTTCCACTACGCCTACACGGGGAACCTGTGTGAATAACCTTGGTGTTTACTAGGAAAAATTGTGCTACTCCCTGCAGGTAAACTGAAATTTATGTTTCAAGGGAAAAAAAAGTTTCTGTTAACTGCAGGAAGAAGACAAAAACCTGCGACTGCCAAAAAATACTAAGGCTCCTGTGTGTTTGAGCTATCTAGTATCTAGAAGAAGTTCTCAGTGATACATTAGCAGCAACTCACCCTTTCTCTCCCATGCCCATGCCCATGCTTGTGTGCCATTGTTTCTTCCGTTTTCCAGCCTATCTGCCTGTTGCTGTGTGTCCTCTGTGCAGTAGTACTAGGTGTCCCTGATGCTATTATCCCAGAACACTCCCAGGCAGAGCCAGGGGGAGGTTCCCACCTATTATCATGATTTCTAATGGCCAACCTGGAGAGAGAATGAGAGAGAGAGAAAGACCTAAAGAGAAAGGGAGGGTTTATTCCAACCAAGCTTCTCTTTCTCTTTAGTCTCTCCAGTTATGCCCTTGACAACTTGACGCTAAAATCTGCAGGTTGTATGTTATGGTGAGTTTTTAATTGCTGAGGCGGCACATGCAAAAAGATTCAGGTATATACGTAGGTTGCGCACGAACGAGAACCGTTTCAAAATCACGTGCACACAAAGTAATAAACAAATTTGCCTCAGCTCTTATTTTACACCTATGCGCCTGATTTGCACAACTAAGGTAAACAGAGATTGACAGAAGGAATTAAACTCTGTTTCCATTAGCCTTCTGCTGCATCAATACGTGTCCCATGGAGTCCCTAAAGCTAAAAATACCCTTTCTCTCCTAGATAGCAGGCCAGGTCAAAGACTTAAGCTGTGGAGTGTGACTTTCAGTCAGTGTTGTAAGGGCTCAATGTAGGCCTGACATAAGGCGACGCTAGCTACTTAGTCAGACACAGCTAGTGCTCTAAATCACTGCCCTGCGGAAAAGGCATACAGTCTTATCCACATCACACTGATCTTTGTATACAGACTACTCACATTAAAACAGGTTCAAAGACATGTGGCCTGCAATATTTATATAAGTAAAAATGGTGCAGTGACACACTCAAAGGAGTGAAGTCCAGTTGCAGTTTTCAAATCAGGGTACTTCGTTTGGTGCGCAAAGGCACCTGTTTAGATCAACACATGCATGACCGATTACAGTGTTGTGAAAAAAATACAACTCTACTAATCCTTTCTCCAAGACTATCCGACCTTTACATAAGTAAAGAGCATAAGTCCTAAAGCAGTTCAGAATCCTAATCTTACTGTCAAGTTGTTTTTCCCCTGGATTATCTTACTGCACTGTTTATTAAGAAATCCAAACTCCTGATAACAAATACTGTAATTAAACTGTACCTGTACTGTACTTAGTGAATGCCAAGGGCAAAACCTAGAACATAGAAAATGGTAAAACTACTGAATGTGCTTTATTTTTAACCTTATGATGACTTTTCCTTCACTGGAAATGACTGTAAGTTTACACATGTAACACAGAATGTACCTGGTACATTTTCTTTACATTTTTTCAAAGCACACTCATGTCTGTGTCTTTAGAGATGAATGTGAATGTCTCTGTATCCGATTCTGGCAGCAGGGCAACCCAAATCATCCCTGCTTGAGCCCCAGCTTCACCTTTAACTTTACCCATTTTCTTTGCTGTGCTGTTTTACCACACTACATTTTCCAGTCTTCGTTACCACTTACCAGGAGCGGAAAAGTTATGTTTGACCTTCATGAATCTCTTCCATAATGTTGGCAGACACGCAGGATGAGATAGTGAAGCTAAGGTATCATCACATTTCAGATCCTACAAAGCAGCCCACAGGAATCAGATAAATATGATGATGCATGAACAGATTCACGGTGAGCAAGTCCCATTCCCAGGGGGCGTATTACATAACCATTAGATGGATTCAGAGAGAGAGGAGGCAGAGGATTGGTGTTCTCTGACTCATCTGCCCTCACGCTAACTCACTCGTTTTTAATTTGTAGCATTGACTTTGTTTACTCACGTCACCTTTCAATGTAGTAGTTCTGCTGAGTTCTAAGTCTTCTTTTCAATATGTCATTTATTGTGATTTCAATCAGTTTGACACTCTTTCCAGTCATTTACAGTAGTTTCTTTAATCATTCTTCTTTTTTTTAAGCAAACAGACTGCTCAGTTTGACACCGGGCTCTCACATTTATTCATAACACAGTGCTTTGTTTTCATAAGCACAGTTCACATTCCTACAATCCAATATGTTCTCATCAGGCACCCTGAGGCGGCTCACAGTCCACACATTATTGCATTCTGTGTGCTAGCAGCTTGAAATCTACGATGTTGAGAAAACAGGAGTTTTTATTATTCAGTTATTTATCAATTATTATAAACACACTTTGGTTAAACTTACTCAATTCACAAATCCAGCCACAAAGACAAGATGACAGGAATAACAAACATACCTAGTGCAATTTTTCCACACTGCGTAATGATACATTGCTTGTAGCTTACTTATGAGTGAGTTTAAGGGCGATAAAAACCTACTGTTCCTTTAACAAGGTAAGTCAGATGTTTCAGTCTGAACACTGTTTTTTGATGAGCCTTACAGAATTCTAATAAGTGGATCTTTAAGGAATCATACAAAATAAGTAAGCTCAACCCTGATTACGTAATAAGACCGAACTCGAGACCACTTGTGCATTTGTGTTTTTGAGGTGGCATGAAGTAAGTTTACTCCTGAGTGCTGAAATACTCTTTGTTAAAACACATATGAGCCGATATTTTCATTTCATGCACCTGTTATGCACAAATATCTAATCAGCCAATCACATGCCAGCAAGTTAGTGAATTTAGGCAAATACATGTGGCTAATAATATAATACATGCTAAAGTTCAAAACCATTCACATCGGTGATGTGGGGAGATTTCTTAGCACACTTTGAACACATCGTCTAAATGTCACAGACTGCCTGAGTAATGCTGCTGCTGCTGATGTCCATCCCATTTATAATACAGTGTAATCATCTTCTAATGGGTTCATCCATCAGTACAACACACCATTTCACAAAGCTCAAATCGTCTCAAACTGGCTTCATGAGCATTACAGTGAGTTCAGTGCACTCAAATGGGCTCCACAGTCACCAAATCTCAATCCAATAGAGCTCCTTTGGAATGTGGAACGGGGGAGATTCACATTATAGGTGTGCATTCAACAAATCTGCAGTAACTGTGTGATGCTATACATGATAAATATGAACTAGCACCTTGCTGAATCTATGCCAGACTTAAGATAGGTCTGAAGGCAAAGGGGTATCCAACCTGGTAGTAGCAAGGTATATCTAAATCTAATCAGGCATAATATTAGGACCACTGACAGGTGAAGTAAATAACACTGATTATCTCTTCATCATGGCACCTGTTAGTGGGTGGAATATATCAGAGAGCTATTGAACATTTTGTGTAAGGATTTGAGCGAGTTTGACAAGGAACATTATGAAGGGTAAACAACCGTTTCAGAGCATCTCCAAAACTGCAGCTGTTGTGGGGTGTTCCCTGTCTGCAGTGTTCAGTATCTATCAAAACTGGTCCAAGGAAAGAAAAGTGGCAAAGCAGCGACAAGGTCATTGGAGGGCAAGGCTCAATGAGGCATGTGGGGGGTGAAGGCTGGCCTGTGTGTCCAATCCAACAGATGAACTACTGTAGCTCAAACTGATGAAGATTTTTCTGACAGAAAGGTGTCAGAGTACACAGAGCATTGCAGGTTGTTGTTTATAGGGCTGCATAGCTGCAGACCAGTCAGGGTGTCCATGCTGAGCCCCTGTACCTCCAAATGCACCAACAATGGGCACATGAGCATCAGATGAATAATTTTCTATGTGGTATAATTTTCTTTCATACCACATGGATGGCAGTGTGCACTTATCTGGGGAACACCTGGCACCAGGATGCACTAGGGGAGGAGAGCAAACCAGCCCTACGCTGGCAATGTTCTGCTGGGAAACCTTGGGTCCTGCCATCCACATGGATGTTACCTTGAGATATACCACCGAAGCATTGTTGCAGATAATGTACACCCTTTCATGGAAACAGTATTCCCTGATGGCCTCTTTCAGCAGGATAATGCACCCTGCCACAAATAGTTTGAGGACCACAACAATTTTGACATCTTGACTTGGCCTCCAAATTCCTCAGATCTCAATCCAATTGAGCATCTGTGGAATGTGCTGGACAAAAAAGGCTGATCCATGGAGGCCCCAACTCACATCTTACAGGACTTAAAGGATCTGCTGCTAATATCTTAGTGCTAGAGATCACAGCACACCTTCCAGGGGTCTAGTGGAGTCCATGTCTCAGTGAGTGAGCAGCAAAAGGGGGACCAATACAATATTCGGCAAGTGGTCATAATGTTATGACTGATAAGTGTATATGCGAGTATTTAAAAGTGCAAAGCAGCTAACATTAGGTCATAACACAGATGTGTGAATCATAAAAATAGGTGTCAAACACAGGCAAAGTCACCCCCAAAGAACCACGGGTATCAGAAGTCAGAGGTCACCTTGAGGAACTGAAATATATCTGATATTACTAACACAGCTGCCAGACATTATAACTAAAAAGTTCCAGAGGGCTTAATCACCACTCTGTGACACAGTCTCATATGATCAGGAAAAACTTCCCTGGCAGAAAAGTCTGCAGAGATTTGAGCAGGTTTGTTCTGAGAAACAGACAAAGAAGCCTCTAATCAGAAGTTCCATGATTATCCACTAGCCGGTACCAGATGCTGTGAAGAGCCACCTCATGTGGATTTTTGCTGTTTTCTCAGATTATATAACACGCAAGAAACTTAACATTCACAGGTTCTTCTCACAGGTGCACCCTGTGCTGCTTTTGCATGTTCACGATGCCTTTCCTCCAACTAACACTGATGATGTCCTCATTACCTGCACATAAGAACTAATTAAAGACAGATATAGAGCTCACTACACATTAATGTGATAAAAGTTTAGGTTCAGTTCCCATGTTATTACACATTTGCAAATCTCAAGGTTCTGTAACTGTAAACCACAGTTTATGGTGGATTTATTTTTTTTCCCCACAACACAAGGGTACACCTGATTAAATACCCCCTACTCAACTGGGGGACCCCACAGACTCAGTTGCGTTAGCCCTCACACAGTAGTTCTGCACTTTGCTGAGGTCTTAAATCAGAGGTTTAAGAGCTCAGCTTGGCTTTTAGTTGTTTCCTGCCTGCTGGCATAATGTTGACATTGTGCTTTAAACAGACGGGAAGGCAACTTGAAGACAGATTTTAACAATCATCTTGTCTTTAAAATTATATGTTCTTACCCCAGTAATAACACAGTAGAAGGTATTATTAGAGTAACACTACATATGAGACAGTTAGCAAAGCTTTCCTTAATAGCTGGCTTCTAAGATACATGAATATGGGTACTTTAAATGTTTAAGATTATTTTTGCACTTCCCACCTCACATTGGGATGGAGTGTCCATCATTCAAGAATGCATTAAAGCTCCAACAAAATTCCCAATGACAACTTTGGAGCAGATATTCACACTGCGCCTTATTAACAATACATCAACACAGTACATTACATTGCCTACACTTGGACTTCACTGCAGCACGATGCGTACCAACGTGAAATCCCCTCCTTACTGTGTCTGTGCCCAATGGCAGTGACTGCTGGGAGCATCACGTTTCTTACCTTCTTGACGGATTTCAGTGTGGGGACTGCGGTGAACGCTGCGGAAGTCATTTCTCCAACGTTCATATTCACATCACTGCTGTTTTTGCTGACAGTCAACACGGAATATTTTTCCGCAACGTTTTCGGTCTCCTTGACATATTTCGTGCCCTGTTTAACCTCCGTCTTGCTGTCCACAACTGTGTCTGTCATTGCATCCGAGTGATATCGATACTGTTACTGGAGAGGAGAGGGGGGAACAAAAGCCGGTTCTGGATTGAGTTGAAACTAATACCCTTAGCTTCGCCTTCTTGCTCTCTTGGCTAAAGCTTCGTGGCTTAAAAATGACCGAACCGACGCTGAAGCACTACACCACGGAGCAAAGCTAACAAAGTAGCCCACTTCACTAGATATGACGCTTTTTTTCTCCCTTATCTACTTTCTAAAAGACTCGCACGGCCACTTGCTTCGGTCCTGCAGGTCTGCTGTCATCCACAGACGGCAACATCTCCCAAGGTGAGGGAGGGAGGGGGCGTTTTGTTGAGGCTGTCAGACAAACCAGTGGGCAGTGTGTAGGCGGTGATAAGCCAGTTAGCTCCAGTGGACAGGAAAGTGACTGCTGAATGTGTAACGGCTGAGGCATCGCTACCCATAAGGAAATAAATTACATAATTTATTCGTCATTTGTGAGACTAAAATGTCAGATGTTCAGCACTGCAGTTTTTTCTTCTGCTCTGTTTTTTATGCTTAGTGCTACACTTGACTCTTATACAGCCCTCTGTTAATCAGCGTAGCGCTCTTAACACAAGTCCC